ATATTTGTAACAATGGCCGGTTAGCTCAGTTGGTTAGAGCGTGGTGCTAATAACGCCAAGGTCACGAGTTCAATCCTCGTACGGGCCATTGTTTAATTTGGGCGAAGCACAGCATAGGGACTCATTTACATGAAAATATTCCAACTTCATCTTGAATTTGCAAAATTTAACTTGGAAAAATAGAGATAATTGATCATTCCTTGTTCAAAGTAATGTTAAGCGCTGAAAAGGAATGTCCAACAATTTGAAAAGCAAAGTCTAACCAGTTGAAAAAGGAACGTCTAACCAGTTAAACAGGAATGTCTAACCAGTTGAAAAGGAATGTCTAACCAGTTAAAGGGGAATGTCTAACCAGTTGAAAAGGGAAAGTCTAACCAGTTGAAAAAGGAACGTCTAACCAGTTGAAAAAGGAATTTCTAACCAATTTAAAAATTAACGTCTAACCTGTTGAAAAGGAATGTCTAACCAGTTGAAAAGGAATGTCTAACCAGTTTAAACAGGAATGTCTAACCAGTTGAAAAAGGAATGTCTAACCAGTTTGACAACAGGGAAGTCTAACCAGTTGAAAAAGGAATTTCTAAGCAATTTAAAAATTAACGTCTAACCTGTTGAAAAGGAATGTCTAACCAGTTGAAAAGGAATGTCGAACCAGTTAAACAGGAATGTCTAACCAGTTAAACAGGAATGTCTAACCAGTTGAATCAGGAACGTCTAACCAGTTGAAAAAGGAGCATCTAACCAGTTGAAAAAGGAATATATTGTAACATGGCCGGTTAGCTCAGTTGGTTAGAGCGTGGTGCTAATAACGCCAAGGTCACGAGTTCAATCCTCGTACGGGCCATTGTTTAATTCGGGCGAAGCACAGCATAGGGACTCATTTACAAGAAAATATTCCAACTTCATCTTGAATTTGCAAAATTTAACTTGGAAAAATAGAGATAATTGATCATTCCTTGTTCAAACTAATGTTAAGGCTGAAAAGGAATGTCCAACAATTTGAAAAGCAAAGTCTAACCAGTTGAAAAAGGAACGTCTAACCAGTTAAACAGGAATGTCTAACCAGTTGAAAAGGAATGTCTAACCAGTTAAAAGGGAATGTCTAACCAGTTGAAAAGGGAAAGTCTAACCAGTTGAAAAGGGAACGTCTAACCAGTTGAAAAAGGAATTTCTAACCAATTTAAAAATTAACGTCTAACCTGTTGAAAAGGGATGTCTAACCAGTTGAAGAGGAACGACTAACCAGTTAAACAGGAATGTCTAACCAGTTTAAAAAGGAATGTCTAACCAGTTGAAAAAGGAATGTCTAACCAGTTGAAAAAGGAACCGCTAATCAGTTGAAAAGGAATGTCTAACCAGTTAAACAGGAATGTCTAACCAGTTGAAAAGGAATGTCTAACCAGTTAAACGGGAATGTCTAACCAGTTGAAAAAGGAACGTCTAACCAGTTGAAAAAGGAATTTCTAAGCAATTTAAAAATTAACGTCTAACCTGTTGAAAAGGAATGTCTAACCAGTTGAAAAGGAATGTCTAACCAGTTGAAACAGGAACGTCTAACCAGTTGAAAAAGGAACGTCTAACCAGTTGAAAAAGGAACGTCTAACCAGTTGAAAAAGGAATGTCTAACCAGTTGAAAAAGGAACCTCTAACCAGTTGAAAAGGAATGTCTAACCAGTTAAACAGGAATGTCTAACCAGTTGAAGAGGAACGTCTAACCAGTTAAACAGGAGTGTCTAACCAGTTGAAAAAGGAATTTCTGAGCAATTTAAAAATGAACATCTGACCTGTTTAAAAGGAATGTCTAACCAGTTAAACAGGAATATCTAACCAGTTGAATAGGAAAGTCTAACCAGTTAAACAGGAATGTCTAGCCAGTTGAAACAGGAACGTCTAACCAGTTGAAAAAGCAACGTCTAACCAGTTGAAAAAGGAGCATCTAACCAGTTGAAAAGGAATATATTGCAACATGGCCGGTTAGCTCAGTTGGTTAGAGCGTGGTGCTAATAACGCCAAGGTCACGAGTTCAATCCTCGTACGGGCCATTGTTTAATTTGGGCGAAGCACAGCATAGGGACTCATTTACAAGAAAATATTCCAACTTGATCTTGAATTCGCAAAATTTAACTTGGAAAAATAGAGATAATTGATCATTCCTTGTTCAAAGTAATGTTAAGGCTGAAAAGGAATGTCCAACAATTTGAAAAGCAAAGTCTAACCAGTTGAAAAAGGAACGTCTAACCAGTTAAACAGGAATGTCTAACCAGTTGAAAAGGAATGTCTAACCAGTTAAAAGGGAATGTCTAACCAGTTGAAAAGGGAAAGTCTAACCAGTTGAAAAAGGAATTTCTAACCAATTTAAAAATTAACGTCTAACCTGTTGAAAAGGAATGTCTAACCAGTTGAAAAGGAATGTCTAACCAGTTAAACAGGAATGTCTAACCAGTTGAAAAAGGAATGTCTAACCAGTTGAAAAAGGAACGTCTAACCAGTTGAAAAGGAATGTCTAACCAGTTAAAAGGGAATGTCTAACCAGTTGAAACAGGAATGTCTAACCAGTTGAAACAGGAACGTCTAACCAGTTGAAAAAGGAACGTCTAACCAGTTGAAAAAGGACGTCTAACCAGTTGAAAAGGAATATATTGCAACATGGCCGGTTAGCTCAGTTGAACCCGTTTAAACAGGAGTGGTCTAACCCAGTTGAAAAAGGAATTTCTGAGCCAATTTTAAAATGAACGTCTGACCTGTTATAAAAGGAATGTCTGCACCAGTTAAACAGGAATATGCTAACAGTAGAAGAGGAAAGTCTACCCGTTAAGCAGGAATGTCTAGCCAGTTGGCAACGGAACGTCTAACCATTGAAAAAAAGCAACGTCAAACCAGTTGAAAAAGGACATAACTGTTGAAAGGAATATTTGTAACATGGCCGGTTAGCTCAGTTGGTTAGGAGCGTGGTGTAATAACGCAATGTCCGAGTTCAATCCTAGTTGAACGGGCCAATTGTCTAATTCGGGCGGAAGCACAGCAAGGGATCACTTTACAGAAAAATATCTCCAACTTCATCTTTAATTTGCAAATTGTTATCTGGAAAAAAATAGAGATATTGATCATTCCTTGTTTAAAGTGTAATGTGTAAGGTTAACAGGATGTCAACAATTGAAAAGCAAAGTTAACAGTTGCAAGATCGTCTAACAGTTTAAACAGGATTCTAACCAGTGAAAGGAATGTCTAACCAGTTTAAAAGGGATGTCTAACCTGTGAAAAGGAATGTCTATACAGGTTGAAAAGGAATGTCTACAGTTAAACAGGGAAGTGAAACCAGTTTTAAAACAGGAAAGTACTAACCCGGTTGAAAACAGGAACGTCTAAATCAGTTGAAAAAGACATGTTAAACCAGTGAAATAGGACATCTAAACAGTGAAAGGAAGGTCTAACCAGATTGAAATGCGGAATGTCTAACCCAGTAGAAAAAGGAAACGTCTAGAACCAGTTTAAACAGGAATGTCTAACAGTTGAAAAAGGAAAGTGCAAACCAGTTGAAAAAGTTAATATCTAACAATTTAAAAAATTAACGTCTAACTGTTGAAAAGGAACTGTCTAACCAGTGAAAAGGACAGGTCTAACCAGTTAGTGAACAGATGTTTAACAGTTGAAACAGCCCAATGTCTAACCAGTAAAAAGGAATGTCTAACCAACACCACTTGAAAAAGCATCGTCTAATGAGTTGAAAAAGGAGCGTCTAACCAGTTGAACAAGAATGTTTAAACAGTTAAACAGGAATGTCTAACCCAGTTGAAGTGTCTAGGAACGATAACCAGTCTAAACAGGAATGTCCTTAACAGTTGAAAAAGGAACGTCTAAACCAGATGAAAAAGGAATGTCTAACAGTTGAAAAAGAACGTCCAGAACCAGTTGAAAGGAATGGTCTAACCAGTTGATGAGGATCGTCTAACCAGTTAAACAGGACTGTCTAACCAGTTGAAACAGGAACGTCTTGGACCAGTGAAAAAGCAACGTCGAACCAGTTGAAAAAGAAGCGTGTAACAGTTAACAGAAATTTGTCTAACCAGTTGAAAAGGAATGTATAACCAGTTGATAAAATGAACTGGTCTAACCAGTTGAAAATGGAACATCTAACAGTTTGAAAAAGGAAGGTCTAACCAGATGAAATGAATGTCTAACCAGTAGAAAAAGGAACGTCAACCAGTAAACAGGAATGGTCTAACCAGTTGAATAAGGTGTGAAAGTCTACCAGTTGAAAAAGAATTTCATAACCTGTTGAAAAGGAATGTCTAACCTGTTCAAAACCTGCACACATAATTTTACAGATAAAACAAAACAAAAGCAAAACACGTACAGGGATTGAAAAGGGGTTGGAGGAAGCAAAATGCTTATATTAATCCAACCCCCCTCACCCAGACTCACAGGACAATCAATAAGACGGAAACAATACCATGCTGGGTAAAAACACATCATAAAAATGTTTACTGTACAGTACATACAGTAAGAACAATACAACATCTACCACCAATGGTATGGGACAAGACAACTCACTCACACACACACACACACACACACAGGATGATTAGTAGACAGGCAACATGATAATGAAACGATGGAAGGAAGCAGTGAAAATCATCCTGTTTTTCACCCAAGCACCATTAGGAGAAATACAAGAAGAAAAATTAGATGGGATCAGCCAAAGGTGAAGCAAAGCAGCACCGCTAACTACAACAGCCACTTATTCCAAGGGGAGTGGGGGACATGTGAGATGAGAAGAATGAGCTTTAGTGAGTGACTATGATTAAAAAATGAAATAAAAACCTTTTACATACACCTTTAAATTCCCTTTTTGCTTTGAAGATGTTCACTCAAAGAGTGAATGTAGATTGACACCTGAGAAGTGCCATTCCAGTGCCAGAAGTGTGTTGTAAAATAAAAGAACATGATATGTCATTTTAAAAATACTGTTGTCACAGAATTGTTTGTAAAATATTTTTTGAGATTTACATACCTTGAAGTTGCTCCTCAGCTTGTGAGGCTACAGTTGCCATCTCCTCGTCATCTTCCTCCTCCAAAAAATCCCCAGCAGCAGAGTCTGTAAAATAAAATAAAGCACTGAGCACATGTCACCAACTCACCTGTATGTGTTAACTGATACTCACCACATGTAAAGAGCTGTCTCCGGGCTGCGGGCTCAGACGCAGGAGGGCGACGTGGTCCTACAGCTGTTTATAAAACACGTCTTGTCGTTACACATATATACTGCATTAATACTGTAATGATTTGAAAGCTGGTAAATAACTTACAAGGTTTGGCTGGCGACAAAATCTTTTGTGCCAGCTGTGAAGCAGATAAATGCTTCCCCCGCGCCAACAGGGCCTTCACATTGGCAACCAGCAGTGGCCTGCTTTGGGTGGCAGCAGGTGGAGGAGGAACACACACAGTGGCAGTGGGCACAGCAGCAGAGGGGGCAGATGCAGCGGGCATAGTGGTGGTGGGCAGGTGGGCTGGAGCCTGCCTCTTCAGCACGTATGCTTTGAAAAGGGCCATGTTGGTGTTGGGCCTGGCCTTTGCCTTCCTCAGGTAGGTGATGAGAGACTGAGCCTTCTTACTTGGGTCCTCATACACCTCCTTCATTGACCTACCCTTGAAGTCACCAAACTCCACCATCAGATAACCAGAGTCTCCCGTCCTCTGGGCCTCCTGCAGCATGGCCTGTTTTTTCAGGTACACCTCCACAGCCTCCCCTACCTCCCTGATCTGCGAGGTGTATCTGAGGAACAGGTGTTTATTGGCCGACAGCGGGTTGTCCCTCTCCTCCTCCCCCATGATGCTGCTGACCAGATACACGGCATACCCCAGTGAGTTCTCCAGCAGCCACAGGAACCTCTGGCCCTGGTGTTTTCCAAACTGGAGCTTGCAGTGAGCCAGAACCAGGGACTGGTCTCCAGGATTCCCTCCATTCTGCCTCACAAAGGCAGTGGCCTCAGCCAGGACCTCCTCCTTACACCTGGCTCTCCCCGCCACCACGATCTCACTCCTATTAGCCTCCTCAGTTGGCCCCATGAGGAGTTGACCCTCGGAGGTTTTCCGGAAAACAGGGAATGCATACATAATCTGAAAGGACACAGGCATAAACAGAACGTTACATAAATGTCATATTACAACTGAAAGTATTTTACTACACTGTTTGGTTTTAATGTAATTAATTAATGATTATACTATCTTTTATTAATTGAATTTACCTGTATTATTGTTATTGTATTCCACTGTGAATCCCTTTGAATTGCCTTGTGTGCAAATTGTGCTCTAAAAATAAACCTTTATTCACTAGCCCTGGCTATATGACTGTAAATCATTTAATAATTGAAACACTGGATTTATAAAACCTGTCAGCACTCAAATGGGTTTTATTCACTTACAATTCATTCACTGCTGCCCTGGAGTCGCTAATTGTAGTAGTATTTATTCATATTAAAATACTGTACAGTCTTATCATATTTAGCTATAATGTATTACCAACAGCATCGTGACAGCATCCAGCCCTCCGAAAATACACCCGCATATTTTTTGGCTATTATTTTATACATAAAATAGTGCGATGAAATTATTAAGAAAAAAAACATTTCTTGGTAAAATCTTGCTGGTATCATGTCATGCATAAATCGTTTTGTTATGTTTAGCTTTTGTAGCAGAGATTACTAGGAAGCACACAATATAACGTTAAGGCGCGTTTATGATCATGCATAAAAATATGACCATCAAACATATCTAAAACGTGATAGATTCCGCGGGGAAGAATCTCCATCAATCACGGATATTTATAGAAGCATTACGACGAGAATATGAAGGCAAAATTCGCCAGATTACATTACGAAAATAAGAACTTAGTATTAATGTTATTACTACACCATTACACAAGCTACGTTACACGCTAGAAACACTTATGCAACGGGTAAAATATGGATGTACAACTCACACAATGTCAGTATCATGTGCTGTCTCTGTGATGAACACAATAATAAACAAGCTAGTTAGGAAGTATTAACGTGACGCTACGCATCGTCAAAGAGTTGTTTTTCTCCGCAAAAACAAGGACAACAATTCATGTCATGCTAACAACAAGATGCCCTACGTGTCTAACACATTTAGCTGTTAAAAAAGTAAATATGTTTAAACCTACCGCTCGCTAAAGAAGTCCAGACAGATGTCGATGACTGATATCTCCGCACTTGCTCCGGGAGTTTATGAGGGAACCGGGAGGTGCAGCGTGATTGGTCGAAAGTAAGGCACCAGCTCGCGACGTGATTGGCCCGAGGGGCACGAGGCCGTGCGCTGATTGGTTGGTGATGGCCTTACTTGTCCTTACTTTGGGTCTTACTTGTCCTTACTTTGCTCTAAGATCAGAATGCAGTAGGCGCAAGGATGACACGCAAATTCGTGAAGCGTTCCTCATTTTTGGCACCCCTGTTGTGCCATGGGATGCTCTGGTGCCACACACTC